GAGTGTGTGTGTGTGTGTGTGTGTGTGTGTGTGTGTGTGTGTGTGTGTGTGTGTGTGTGTGTATGCGTGTATCTATGGTACATGTCCCACACAATATGAGCGAATGCACCAGCAAGTTCACACGCGATACTTTTTGCGTTGACACTTGCGAGAAATACCCAAGGGCTCTCGGATGGAGAGACGGCGAGATACGGATGAGGTTTAATTATCATGTCACTTTCATCATTATTGTTATTTGCACTAATATTGCTAACAGTATCCCTATTATAAAATGACATGTATCTAATTCATCATTAGTATCATTATTACCATTATTTTATGACCGTAGCGATTATTATATAATTATTATCATTGCTGTTGTTATGCTGCTGTTAGTGCTATTTGCAGTAAAGAAAAAAAATACGAAACTCGTGTTTACCTCCCCTGCGTTCTGAAAGAAGAAAGTAAGGACCTTTTGGTTGAGTGAGGGGGGGGGGGGGAATCCACATTGAACAAATTGATTTTACCATGTCATAAATAAGAGGTGTTGGATTAATTATGGTTAACAGCGAAGCAGATCAATATCGGCCCCATTTCCGACACGAGTACAAAGGAAACACTGAGCACCAGTTGGCGCACACCTCGCCAAAAAATGAGTTCGTTCGTGTGTGAGTGTAGTAGAGAGAAGCATATATGGACACAACAGCGGCCATTTACTGCTGGCGGTGCTTTGATGCGATTAGTGATCGAAAGAATGAGAAAAAAAAGTATAGGACCAGAGATATTTAGAACATGATTATTTGGCTTTTTTCCCGACGAAGGTATCCGGAATGCCATAGGCACGTTAACAATGCCAATGGAAAGTGTGTTGAAGAACAAAGATCTATATTAGATTTATGCTTCATTGATTACTGTAAAACTTTTGACAAAATTAGACAAGAAACTACTCAACATTCTGAAAGGGCTAAACACAAAGAAAGGCTTTAAGATTTGTTAGGAATCCATGCTAAGGCCAAAACGTTACTATAAGAATCGAAGCAGAGTTCAACCAGTATACAGAGATTTAAAAGGAGTTAGGCAAGACAACGTAATGTCTCCAGCTCTCTTCAACACAATCACTAAAACAATTCTTAGCAACGTTGAAGGAAGTCCTGGTCTCAAAGTGAATGAAGAAAACATTGATAACATCAGATGGGCCGTTCACACAATTTTAATGGCAGATTCGAATTTTACCCCCAAAAAATGTTCTACATACTTTTGTTGAGGAAAATGAACGTGATGGGTTATTAAAAATGCAAAGAAAACAAAATGAATGGATTCACTTAATTCCCAGATACACATAAAAAGACAGAACATCCTAATTGTAATTTTACACTTACTGGTGAAAAGATCAGACAAGTTCAAACGTTCAAAATTTAGGATATATCCCTGTATTAAATGTCAAATGAGCCACAAAGATGTACCCCCCCCCCCTAAAAAAATGACAAAAGCAAAAGACATTTTCCATAAATTGAGTCAAATCCTTTAAAGCAGAAACATCTCAGTGACAACCACGCAATAATTTTAAAAGGCTATGTGTGATCAACTCTTCTATATGACTGTCACTGCTAAATAAATAAATAGTGAAAATAAACTTACTTAAAAGCAACAGAAATGTGGTTTCTAAGGAGTCGTTTGAGAATTTCATAAAAGGAAAAGAAACAAGAGGTAGTGCTGGAAGAAGCCTACAGGGGCCGCTCATCAATTGAAAATAGTCAGGATCTTCCTGACAAACAGTTTCTGGGACACTTGAACAGACATATTTTGACAACCCTGGGCATCTTACTCTCAGCGGGAAAATAGAATGCAAAAGAGCTGGGAAACGCAAGGCGAGACATACAGAAACAAGAAAGGGAACGGAAAGTAAAGAAGCAGGACCCACCAGTGGCGCCCTCCAACCACCCACAACAAAGTGAAACAAAAGAAGAAGGGACTACCAGTGGTGCCCTCCAAACACCCGCACGCAGATCAAGAGCAACTTAGAGATTTAGAACTGTGGGTGACGGGGAAAGAGCAAGAAAGCATATGTATTTTTAGAGCGTCCAAGCAAAGAAATAGGTGGCGAACCATGGCAGCCGATGTCTATTTCTGATCTGACACTCTAAGAGGATGACAAGTGCTGGGAAATCGTAAAACCTACAGGCAAAAACAACTGAGGGAAGGTAAGAAGACATTCTCTTACCACTCACCACTCCACCACCACCACCACCTGCACAACAATAGTATCAACAACAACAACAACAACAACAACAACAACAACAACAACCACAATCAACTAGAACAATAATACAACAAACCACCCTGCCCGGCTCTTCTCTACATAAGCAAAAACAACAGCACGATAATAACATTGCATATTCCACACATCATGTCAATTATGTGTTCCTCTACGGCTGCGAAACTTGGAAGACAACAAAGACAGTGCTGAAAAAATTCCAAACTTTCATTAACAGATATATATGAGGAGTATCATAAGAATTAAGAGGCAAGATAGAATAAGAAATGAAGAACCGAGGGAAAGGACAGGGCCGAGGGAATATAGAAGTAGAAAGAAATATGACTAAGAAAGTAGCGATGGATGGGAACACCTTCAGAAATTGAGAAAGCACAGCGGAAACATTACAAGACAGTCGCTGCAGTGGAACCCACAAGGAGCATGATGCAGGGGTAGGCCACGGGAAACATGGAGGAGAAGCGTAGAAAGGGAATTGAGAGAGATGAAGCTCACTTGGAACGAGCTGGGAAGGATGGCCCAGCACAGAAATAAATGGAAGGAGTTTGTAGGTGGCCCATACCCTGCCAGGGGTGAAAGGCATTGATGATGACGATATTCCACACCTCACCTACGTAGAAACAACAATAAAACCACAGCAACAACAACAACAGCAACAAAAACAACGTACCACATTACACATCTCATCTATGAGGAAACCACAACAGCAATACACAGTGACAACAACAACAACAACAACAACAACAACAGCAGCAGCAGCAACAAAAACAACGTAGTTTGAGGAACCACAACAACAACACACAGTAACAACAACACACAGTAACAACAACACACAGAAACAACAACAACGACAACACAGTAACAACAACAACAACAACAGCAACAACAACAACAACCCCGCCCGCCCCACTCACCTCCCCCGCAGTGTTGGCCTTGGCCCTCCAGAAGAGCTCGTCAATCCTCTGCGTGAACTGCTGGAACTCCGGGATGATGAACTGGTTCCGGAACGCCTTGGCTATCAGGATGATGTTGTCCCCGATGCATCTGAAAATCCACAGCTTTTGGTTTTAATGACGACTTTTACAGAAATTGCTACACAAATTGGTCATACAAGTGCCAAAGACTTGAGGTGTTTAGGAGAGAGTAACGTACAAAGATAATTTAAAAAAGGAGGAGAGATAAGGGCGATAGATGGCAAAGGAGCAAACCATACCAACATCGGTCGACGAATTGATTTCTTTTTAAGTACAAAGTATGATATTATATTCGTTAGAGGCTTGCACAAAGTATAATACTATATTCAATTCATTAGGGTATCTATATTACAGATGTGAAGTTTTAAAATGTGGGAAATCGTAAAGGTTTAACGCCCCCGGCAACACTGTACAATTATCTAAGAGGGGGGTCTCACATTAGGGGTTGATAAGCAGAATCAATCAAACAAATATACACACACACAAACAAATAATCTAAGCAAATAGTACTTACTCTCTTTTTTTTAGCAGAGGTTTTATGGCGCTCGCAAATGCATAAAGTCATATGAGCTCCAGAAGATTAGAGGTGTTACAAGTGAGTAACAAACATAAAAAGAAGAAGGGGAGATAAGGACGATAGATGTTTGAAAGGAAAGAAGGAGAAATCTACACCAAAGCACCCGCCAACTTACTCTCTGAAGGTCTCCCTGTCAATATAGATGCTCTGCACGGCGTCCAGGTCCGAGATCTCCGACTGGACATTGGTCAGTTTCTGCATGGACTCCTTGAGGCGCGGGTCTGTCTCTCTTAGCCCAGTACTCCGCAATGCCTGTTATGGGGGAGAGAGTGAAAGAGTGAGATAGAGATAGATAAAGAGAGAGGTGGAGGAGGAAGGGGGGAGAGGGGTGGGGGGAAGGAGAGTGAGAGAAAGTGAGAAAAGATGAGAGAGGGGAGAAAGAAGGTTGTGAGAGAAAAAGGTGAGAAAGAGAGTGAGGGAGAGAGAAAGATGAGAAAGAGAGTGAGGGAGAGAGAAGGTTGTGAGAGAGAAAGATGAGAGAGGGGAGAGAGAAGGTTGTGAGAGAGAAAGGTGAGAAAGAGAGTGAGGGAGAGAGAAGGTTGTGAGAGAAGAGGTTGAGAAAGAGAGTGAGGGAGAGAGAAGGTTGTGAGAGAGAAAGGTGAGAAAGAGAGTGAAAGAGAGAGAAGGGTGAGAAAGAGAAAGATGAGAAAGAGAGTGAGAGAGAGAAGGGAGAGAAAGAGAAAGAAAGAGAGAGAGAGAGAGAGAGAGAGAGAGAGAGACAGACAGACAGACA